TTTGTAATCCATTTATCTTTTTCTTTTAAAATTTCGGTTACTGTAGACTTCCCAACACTATATATATCTGCAAGTTCTATGAACAAAATATTCTAACGAACGTTTAGCAATTATTCAATAGTTTGTACAAGTGTCAAGGTCAAGATCTATGAACAAAATATTCTAACGAACGTTTAAATAGTTCATGTAGGAGTAATCGAAGTAAGTTTTAAGGACAAGATCTATGAACAAAATATTCTAACAAACGTTTACCAATTAATTAATAGTTTGTGTAGGAGTAATCGAAGTAAGCTTTAAGGACAAGATCTATGAACAAAATATACTAACAAAGGTTTTATCAATCATTCAATAGTTTATAAATTTCTCTTTTATTTTAACTTATATTTAATAACATCACTATAATCATCATTGTTGTTGTTTATTGTTCTAATCATCATTTACATATGTACAGTATATAGGAATAAATGTAAAAGAAAAATTTATTGTATATTCTTTCGAGTTAGAAAGTGATTGATAACAATGATTAATTGTTGATTTTAAAAACCATCTTTGTGCAAAGTAGGTTTTCGCCAAATTCCTTTATATTACAAATTAAAAGATGCGCAAAAATTTTGACACATTTCTAATTGTTTAATAAATCAGATATATTTTATACTCTTTCGAGTTAGCAAGTTATCGGTAACAATAACCAATTTGATTTTAAAATTTTTTAAAATTAAATACTAACCAAAATTATCAAATCTAAAAAAATAAACAAAAAAAATTTATTATTATTGTTTTTTTAATAGACATGCATAGTTATGATGCTAGCCAAAAATTGACAAAAATTAAAAAGTATTTGTTTATTTATTTAACACGATGTTATTATCAAAGTATACTTTTGTAATTAAAGCACAAAATTCGTCTGATAGCTTGATTGTAAGGTTTCTGGTCTAATATACCTACCTATATATAAAAAACGTTGAAAAACCCAAATCGACAAAACGGTTTGAGTTTTGAGAAACAGTTTGGGCTAGAAACTTTACTTGATTGTCAGACCCATTTAATCATACGATTTTAATAATATCAAAAACTAATTTTCAATTTAATGATTTAGCGTAACATATGCATTGCACTGTTTAGTATCTACTACTACCATTTAATTTATTTATTATTAGTATAATTTGCATTTGTATGATTGTAATTAAGAAAGAAATTTGATATTATACATTCCTGATGGAATTCAGAAAATTCAGCTAAAATCAGAGTGCTAATTAGTTTGCAAGTATACGAATGACTCAAATTTATGCATCATGAAAGGAATATTACCAATTTGTCTGATCCACACACTCTATTAAAAAACAATAATTATTATCAATACTAAAATATTCAATGTCGATATTATTGCCATCACTATCATCACCTCATTTATCATTTGTACGATACATAAGCCGACGAAATGAACTTTCGACGAAACAAACTTTCGACAAAATGAACTTTCGACAAAATGAACTTTCAACGAAATTATTGTCGACGAAGTGATTGTCGACGAAGTGGTTATCGACGAAATAATTTTCGACGAAATGAACTTTCAACGAAACAAACTTTCGACGAAATGGGTGTCGACGAAATGATTGTCGACGAAATAATTTTCGACGAAGTAAACGGGACCGTAATATTTAACATAATAATAATAATTCTTGGAGATCTAAAATTTCACAAACCTAATATACATATGTATATTGTGAGTCACAACTATTCATTTTCTATATCATGAAACAATTTCATTTCGCTATTAAAATTTCATTAACAACTATGAATGGGAACAACTTCTGGTCTTTGCTTGAATAACTTCGGGACCTTGCTTGAAAAAGTAGAGGAAAGTAAATTCACAATCAACATTTTGATAGAATCATTGTTTTACCCTTGAAAATCGTTAATGAACTTTCCAAAAATAAAAAATAAAAACAATGTTTTTATTTTCTTTATTTATAACGCTTTGATAAAAACAACAATTGGAATGCCTTTGTAAAAGTCACGTTTTTTGCTTTGGTGAGTAAGCAAAATTAGGACTAATGTTGGTTAACTAGCGATGTTAACAACGACCAGTAATTTGTTTTAGTGGGTAACTGAGTAAGCAAAGGTTTAGTACTAACGTTGGTAATTGGAAATATTAGTAGTGATGTTGTGATCGCAAACGTAAGGCTGTAAACAAGCTGCTTAAATTGTTTGTAAATTAGCAGATAAGGGTAAACAAGGATCACGAGCAAATAAAAGGAACTTTATAGAAGCATTTTAATTTGTAAAAGTGCCATTTTATTTATTTAGAGTTGTCCGGTACCATTAAGTGTACGCTTACAGATTCGTCTAGACACAAGAGGCAGGCAATAAACGAAAACCAAAGTAATTCGTAAACTAGTTAATTGAAAAGCACCAAATTATTGTGAGCTGTTAGCAATTAACTAACAAGAGTAGCCCAAAAGTTAAACCACGATCGGCAATATCACCATTTTCACAAGAATCATAAAACTGTAAAAAAAAAGTTTATTATTTCAAAATATTATTATAATTTAGCTTTAAGAAACAAAAAAGGATAAATAAAAAGATAAATAATTATAAAAAATGAATTTATGGTTGAGACCAAATTAATTAATTAAAAACATTGATAATAATTTCTAATTAATTAATAACGAAATTTTTATTCATCTTTGTTAATATTTTAGAGAAGGGAGTTAAAATCAAGATTTAGATTTAGCAATTTCTTCATCTAATATTCTACTTGTATGGTATGCACCTGGATGTAATTTGTGTACTTGTTGCAAAGCACTAGTACTGCTGCTACCATCAAGCCTTTGAATTTTAAAAAATTTGAATAATATCTTTATTATGCCATTTTTCAAATTTTTTTTTTCTTTTTTACAAATTTCATTCAATTTCTTATCAGCAAAGTTAAAAAGCTCTCCACTAGTTGGTCTTTTCAATGGATCCATATCCCAACACCTCTGCATCATTTGTGCATAATCGCCAGGCATTCCAGGTAATATTGGTGGTTGTAAGCCTTCACATATATCAAAAATTAAATGATGATAGTGAGCTCTATTGTCAAATGGTGGATGACCTGCAAATATTTCCCACATTAACATCTCAAAACTATAAACATCTGTTTCTTTTGTGTTCCTATTTCCATTAAATAGCTCAGGTGCAAGGTATGGTACAATTCCAAAGATTTTATTCGATAGTTTTTCATCAACTGGACCATGTAACCCTAAATCTGTAATATAACAATGACCTTTTTGCATTAACACATTGCCACTATGTAAATCACAATGGATTAAATCTTTTTCATGTATACAATTTAATACTTCACATAAACTTTCAAAGATAGTAATTCTGTTTTTTAATGTTAAATTCAAATATTTTTTTTTCAAATAATCCCTTAAATTTCCTTCTGATTCATAATTTAAAACTATTGCATAATTTCCACTATCTGGGAATTTAGTTATACCATAGCAAGCAATAGTCACCCTTGGATTAATTTTACAATAATTCATTGCCTAAAAATAAATATAAATCAATTAGTATTTATTATATCATACAGTATTGTTTTAAATGATAATTACCAACCTCATCAAAAAAGCCTTTTCCCGGATTACTTGAATCATTTAAATTTTTTAATACTACTTTTTGCATAAATTGCTCTCCTACATAACTAAATTCCTTTTTATTTTCATCATAATCAATAATAGTTCCTCTTGTCCATGATGCTGTATAAATTGAACTAAACCCACCTTCAGTTAACTTTGTTACTTTTACAAATTGCTCAAAAGGTATCCATTCTAAAATAAAAGTTGGCAGAGATAATTTCCTTTGGCATTGTTGAATAAAATCATCAATTATGTCATTCTCAGATGTCCAAGTAGTGAAAAGATTCTGTAATTGCAAACTAATGCAACCTTCACAGAACCTATTGGAGTATCTTGTCAATTTACATTCGTTACATTCTTTTGGTTTTCCCAATTTATTTCTTGCATTTTTTAATTCAAAGTAATAAATAAACTCTTCCTTACAATGTTCTTTTTCATTTTCAGAAAGCTCCTTATTTTCCTTGAGTAATGAAAAAAAATAGTCATTTCTACTTTCTTTGCCAGAATTAACTCTAGCATCATTATACATTTCATTATAAATTTTAATACAAATTTCTTTCTTTTTAGTGATGATAAATAAGGATAATAGTTCATTGTAAATAAATTTATAAGATTTAAAAATTTGACTTGATGTTTTAATGAATAGGGCAACAAATGAATAACACTAATCCGTTTATTTATTTATTATTATGTAACACACAATATTATTGGACATACTCTGGTGAAAAATCAAAAAAGAAAAATTTTATTATTCATCGTGATGCCAAAAATTCAACGAAACTCATCATACTAATATGTACTATGTGAAACTTGTTCTACGTACCAATATTGACCAACTTATGTGTGCTTCCAAAGACAGCTTGAGCACACTACCAACACTATTGCGTATAGTTAACTTTAAAGTCAAAATTTCATAAAAGATGAAGAATCTGGTGATGTTGTTATAGAGGCTGGTGCATCAATTTTGGCTGTTTTGTTAACTATTTATTAGTAGTAATGAATTGAATCTGTGTAAACAATTTAGGGTATTGTGCAATTGATATATTTGACTATATGTGATCAAGTAACTATTCATGAGGCTACGGAGCAAACCATTTCATCAATATTGGCAGCTGCAAATCCAATTGGTGGTCAATATAACAGGAGATTAACATTGAGATTATTTTCAAAAAAAAATTCAACATAATAATAATTACATTATATTTCTAGCAATGTAAGTTTATTTGATCTGTTTTTTTTTTTTTAGTAATTGATTAATGTAAACCCAATGTGGATGGTATGATGGTAAATCATATTATAATAATAAGAACACATCAACATGGTGATGATGCTATTGATCCATAATTTATCATCAAACAACTACATCGACATATAAAAATGCACAAGGATTAATACCTCAGATTATACATGAAGCAGGAGAATTACTATTAAAAATATAAAGAATTGGAACTGATGACGTTTCAGGTGTAAATCAAAACCATATTGTATTACTGGAAAGTATTGTTCGTTTATCTGAAGCTATTGCGATGCTCATTGTAATCAAGAGATAATTTATTATTTGTTATTTATTATTGTAATTATTAAATCACTCGCAATAATATAATTTGTTTGTTTGTCTAGATTTTACCTGAATATGTAAATGAAGCTTATAATCTACTAAAAAATCCATAATTCATATTTATCATCATGATTTAGTTTTGGATACTTTGAAACAGATGATATTGATAACACACAAAGAACTACAATGTCAACTCAAAACAATAGCGTCATGGGTTTAGATGTCAATACTACCAACAGTGATCAATTGACGATGCCAAGAGGTATCATCATCTTCTACTATTACAAGAAGAATATGCACAAACCAGATGTAGTGTTTTAAAATTATTATATTATTATTATCATTATTGTCATCGCCGTTTATTTTTATTATTATTCTATATGATTGCTTTCCAAATAGCTTGCACGGCAAGTTACACAGTATGTCAATAGCATCTTGAATATCAGGAAAAGGAAATGGAGATTGGTAGCTTGGGAGAAAAATAAAATGTTTTCTCAAGAAAATGAAGGGGTTAGGTTTTTACCTCCGCTAAAAATATCTTTTTATATTTATATTTATTGTTGAATGTTTTATAAAAAAGGATTTCAGCTATAGTAATAGTAATTTGATAAATGCTAAAAAAATTCCTTTATTTTAAATTTCTCTCTATATATATTTATTTCATTATTAAACATCCAAAAGAGATAATGATGCTTCATGAACCTTTTTTCCTAATTAGATACTTGAGAAATTAAATTTATCTAAATTCATAATACTTTATATTTTCTTTTAGTTGGATCAGGATCACTTGCTCTTGATTCAATTCTGTTTAAAGTTATCAATGCTAATAATACTACATCAATTGTTGTTGTATTTCCTATTTATAATAATATAATTGAATATTATATATATATTTATATAATTATAACGTTTTATTAAATCTTGCCAAATTATATACACACCAACGCCGATTTCATTCAACAATTCATCATAAGTTATTTCATCAAACTCTTGTCTTGGAAATCCTAAAACATCTTGCCTATCTTTTTTTTAAAAAACAAAATATTTAATATTTAATCATCATTGTTATAATTAACTAGTTTTATTATTATTCACCTCTTATTATTTCATTAATATCAATTATTACTTGGTTTAGGAACTAGTAATAATAGTGATTAATAAGAAATATATTATATAGCGCATATCCTCAACGCATAAATAAATAGTGATGTTTTAGTTTACCTCCACATTGATTTGCATTTTAATAGCTAAATCGAGTGATTTCATTTCTTCTTTTGTTATTAATTTTATTTGTCTACATACAATTTGTTCAAATGATTTATCGTTATCATTAATATGTCTTTTCCTTTCATTTGATGATAAAACTTGAGTAGATTTATTATAATAGTCTGAATTTAATTGATTAATATCGTCACTAATTTGATGGATTTGTGGTATTTTATCTCGTTGAAATGGTGTCAATGATAGTCGTACATCTCTATACACGCTATAATATTATTATATTATTATATTATTATATAAATTTATGTATGTAATATTATATTATTTGATGAATTTTATTATAATTACTTTTGACTAATTTTATTAGCAAATGCATCGGGTGTGCCTAGATGATAATAATAACATAAAAATCAATAACCAATAGGTAATTTAATAATTTATTAATATAACAACTTGATAATAATATTAATAAATAATCACCAGCCTTGAGTATTGCTAGAGCGTGATCTGATATTCCAAAACTTTCAAGCGTAGGACTTTCTTGAGTGACAACTGAAAGGCGTTTAAATGTTTTATTTGCTTTACGCGGTGTAACTAAAATATTATTTTCTTTTGTTAATTCATTTTCTATATGTCCTGTATTTTTACTTGCTATTAATTCTATTGTTTTCTCGATTGATTTATCATTATTATTATCATTGTTATTATTATTATTATTATTATTATTATTCTGATTTTCTTCTGCTAATACTAAATTCTCATAACTGGTAATTGATTGTGTTGGTATAAATGAACCTAAATTATATTTAATTTAATTTAATATAATATATGTGCAATATTTATTATATTGTAATTTATATAAGGAAAAATCAATCAAGATCACCCACCTTCTAATCCAAATTCATATAATTTTTCTTCTAACTCAAAAATACGGTCTTGAATCTAATAATAATTAAAAATTAACAAATTGATTCATTGCTATTATTGAAATATTTATATTTATACTATATATAAAACCATTATTTACTGTTACATAAACAGCAATAGCTGCACAAACAATTTCACTCAAAGGAGTGCTCAAATCAGGTGTATTTTCTATTTCTTTTATTTCATTAATCATTTTTTTAGTATGTGATAGCATTTGTCTTAAATAATTTTCTTGACGACCAGAGGATATCGGTAATGCTGGACTTTTTAATGACATTCTTTATCAAATTTTTTTAAAGAAAAGAATGAATGCATTACTAATCAAACAATTAGAAAATGAATTAGAAAAAATATAAATTAAATTTACTTTAGATCTTGACAGGCATCTTCAAGCTGGGAACTAAAGTTTGTTAACTGTGAAAAGAATTCATCCATTCTGTTTAGTTGCAAATTTAAATTTTTTTTTGACGTGTTTTCCAAAACAAATGCTGATCGTGTGTAATAAAGTGCACGTGTAACGAAGACCCCATTATAAAAGAAGTTAGTATGTATTAATATGATTTATTTAAAGCGACCAACCATCAAATCTTTTGAAAATGCATGATGTTTGTCTAAAAAAATATTTTTATAAATCTTTCCAGGCATTGATAAATTTGATAAAGTTCTTAATAACTCTTTCCGAAACAAATCTAGATTTAAATCATTTTTGAAACTCCCAAATTAGAAAAGTAAATGCCCATTCATGTAATTATGTATCATTTTGGATTTGCAAGTTTAGTAATATTTTTATATAATATAATATTTCTTCATGATTGTTATGAGTAAGTAAATATACTGAGGATCAAAGCATTGAGTTGCTTTAAAGAGAGATAAAGCATTATGCTTGTCAGTATCCCTTTTTGAAATTTTGATGTAAATGCTTCTTGAAAAATATTAACACAAGGCAAAATGGATTACATTTGAAGACTAATATAGGGATTTGAAAACCATACAATAAAAAAAAATTGAGCGTTGGTAAATTCCTAATAGCTTTATTATCACTATCACAATACTTGGTTCTTTTTTTTCTGGAAAAATGAATTTATAATTATCTGCCTAAATTATAAGTTTAACCAGGAAATCTGTTTGGTTTTAACTGGCAAAGAAGGAGATACGAGAATGATGTTTCTTTTCAAAGAAAAGAAATAAATGAAATCCGCCTTCTCTTTCTTACTGGGATATATGCAAATAATGTTTTAATATCCATATCACTTGTTCTAATAACCTAAAGTATTCATATTCGATCCATGTCTCTCCTGCTAAATTTAATATGTGAGAAATATATGCATTATGTTTCCTTTTGGAATAAAACTTGATAAGCTTTCAACATTCATTCAACATTATCTGAACGAATACAAGGTATAATATTTCCAAAATATTTAAAATTAATAATAAGGCAAACTTTTAACAATATTCCAATTGAGGTTATGAAAAATCAATATTATTAGTTATTTATTTTATATCTCGAATCTAAAAAGAATAAACGGCTGGGGTCGGTAAATAATCAAATAATATAATTTTCTATTCTTATATTTAAATATACAAAAATAAATTTTATTTAAATAAATAATTTCTTGTTATTTCATATTCTCATTGACTGATTACTTGCTCAATTTTACAATAGTTCGCATCTATATAATTAAAATATTAAAGGATATTGAAAAATAATTTTGAATTTTTTTGAATTAATTATATATTTACCTATTAATACTACTAGCACTTTCACTATTACTATCAATAATGCTATTAATAATAATAAATGCATTATTAATAAAATTAGTAGTTATATAATTTAAGCATAAAAAAACTGATATATTTTTTACCGTTTACAGCCAAGATGGTTTAGAACTGCCAAATAACAATATTGAAATTGCCCAAATGATTGAACCATTATAACACGTTGTTTTCTAAAATGTTCAACTAAATCTTGAATAAGATCGGCATTATTATTATTATTATTATTATTATCATCATCATCAGCAATGTTACAATTGCGCTTTAATAATGCCAGTGTTGAATCAATTGTACAAAAAGTACCAGTTCTACCACACCCAGCACTACAATGTATAACTATTGGCCCAATTACATCATCATTGTCAACATTGATATTGTTATTTACTAGTAGATGCGCTTCTCCATTTATATGTTCCTTTTGTAAATCATTAGTTTTTTGAATTAGATTAAGTATATTTTCTGGTGACTCAGGTACTCCATAATCAGGCCATCCAACAAAATGTAATTGAGTAACATGTCTAATAAAATTTTTATTATTAATAGTACTATTATTATTATTATTATTATTATTATTATTATTATTATTATTATTATTATTATTATTATTATTATTAACATCCCCAAAACTATTATTGATAACAATATGATTATTAATATTATTATTATTAAGAAGATCATTATCAGCATAAAAATAATCATCAATTTTTTCAATTCTAATAGTTCTAATAACAGAAGCAGTGCTAGGATCCAAATACTCTTTTTCCAACTCAACCTTCAACCCTGAATTTTTATAAATGGCCGGACTCTTCAATTCAGGCCAATACTTCTCACATTTGATAGTATTTTTTTCTTGTTCTTTGGTCAACATCACAATAACTCTCGAGTTCTGCTCCCAAACCATCAACCAAAAATCTTCCACTGTATTCTTAGTTGGTCCTTGTGTTACTATATACTTTTTAACATCATATGGTGCTTTGATATAACTTGCATTAATATAATCATCAGTTCTACCTGTACGTTTACGCATTAACTTCACTCTGTTATAGTTAAATGGCAGTACATCACTGTATCTGTTGTATTTTGCAACGCTTGGTTCAAGTGCATCACTTGTACTAAATTTGTTGACTGAATCTTTTGGATTATGTCGTCTTTCTCGGTCATTAATAAATATTTGTTTAAATTTATTCATCAAAGTTGCTTCATCTAAATTTTGAGCCTCGGAAAGAAAAGGAGGAATTACAATAGTAGCTTTACTATCGTTATTACTGGAATCATTGTTCAAGTTTTTTGTGTTAGAACTTGACATTGTGATTCTGAAATTTTTTTTTGCTCGATGAATAATTGATAAAAAAGATTTATTGTTTTGCATATCCTAATATTTATGGTCAAATGATAATTCCATATTATGTTAAGATCTACTGAAATCTTGACATGAATAGAAATATCTTAATGTTAGTATCGCATATTACAAAATGTACAAAATTATTCGTGGACATTACAATAATATTAACAGCTTTATATTATCTCATCTATTTAATTATTCAATATCTTCCATATTGTATTAATTAATTACCTGGACGTTTTTCTTCAAAACTTTACGAAACACAATATTTTATTGATTTAAATAAATTTTTTTCCTTATTATATCAATTTCTTTACTTTAACATACATTAAAAGTTCTGTAAAATGAGTTTGTATTAGAAATGATATAAGAAAACACCATAATTGTGTATAGTCGTGATATATGCTTCATAGCTTTGGTTTGGATTTGGTTAACTTTTATAATCCTGGCCTGTGTTCGATGAACATAAGGATTATTACCATGTTTCATTTCACATAATAAAATTAAAAAATGCTTACTAACTTTTCCTTGATTTTTACTTTATTGTAAAACTTAGAAGATTCATATAAACTAAAAGTAATCGATGTAATTGATCCTGGAAAATTCAGCAATCAGAAATACTTGGAAGATGCTGAAAATTTGTGGAAGATTTTAACGTTTATTTGATAAGAAAAGCTGAGCAAGACTCAAATTCTTCATTCAATGGAACGGTAACTAAATTTGTGAGTCGTTTGAATGGTGAGTTGCACTACAAAACAATTCTAGGAAAAAAGAAATTCAAGAATGGATAAATATGAGGATTACGAAGGAAAAAATAGTGATATTAATGATAATTATATTATTGATCCTCCCGTGAATCGCTTGGTAGTTTTTATCTTATAAATATTTATCTTTTTGTTGTTTCCTTGAGCATGAATACTTTGTCCCCATTACTATTACAATATTCGTGATTATTATACGATACATCTGTCATAAATTTGCAAAAATAAATAAATAAATTGAATTGCATAAGCAAAATTTTTAAGGAACCAATTTTGGGAAAGCCCTGACAGGCAGAATCGAAAAATAAACATGATGTTTTTTGCTGAATTTTAGCCATGAAATAGGACGAAGACTTTTAATGACCACCTTGGTTCTTTTTTTTGCCCATGTGTCCACGTGTTCTGTACGTACTTCCCAATTTACACAACCATTTCCAAAAAAGTTAGGAATAATAAATATTGATCACAGGAGTCAGATTCCTCTCACAAACACGCAATTATGCGTCCTTCATAAACATGGAACTTTTCCATGGGCGAAATCCCCACGCTCTCCCTGGAATTTAATTGCATAGTTGTATCATCGGGGTGCAAGCTAGATTAGCCTTATGTAGTCAGGAACTAATATACCTCAGCATATGCAAGTTTTCATCCAATAATCAAATATTACATATCGAGTTGTTTGGTGTTTTCAAATTGTCCAAGCACGTATATGAATGAAAGTGAAAAAGTAATCAATCTCCGATAGTCGTATTGTCTCTCTTACATCTGACATTTCTTGATAACGATTATGCGAAAGTATGTATACCAATCATTTACGATGACAAGGAATCACATACCATATAGCTCCACGTTTATACAAGATATATAGGCTATGTATAAAAAAAATGAGTCATCAATCAATAAAAAAAATAAGTCTCTGGTTATTAGTTAAAAACCGTGTCTTCAGTAAAACCATACCAATGTTTATTAATAAATGCCAATCGGATAGCGTTGTACAGTTAGAGTTACTTGGTCTTTTGAAGCTATAACATGGATAACTTGAGTCATATTTATGAACAATTATAATTAAAAAGTTCCATTTAAACAAGATATTGCTGTTCCTATTTTTTCCCCTTCATCCAAATTATTTCCAACATGTATATATCTCTTGATGACATGAGAGATCTATGCAGGAAAATTTCCTGATTAATAAATATAAAAACATTTTGTATGTAATAGAATTTTTATAAAAATTTACCTGTGCATGATGGGAATCAACAGTTGATTTTGCCTCCCCAGGTTCAAAAAATACCAACCACGAACTTCAATATCATACCATTGGTGCCAGTTGGAACTATGGTCATTAATTCTGAGTTGTGGTAATGAGCACCATTGTCTGAAAATACTTCAATCCATTGTGGATGTGGATCTAAAGTTTCAAAAACAGCATCAAAAGAAGAAATTGTAAACCAAGCATCTTGCTTGGTATCAGTACTCCAATGGTCAAATGCTTGAACATTGATCTGGTTAGTATCAGATTTTGTGAAAACCAAAATTGTGTGTAATGTCCAACCATGTTTCCCAAAAAATTGTTCTTTAGTTTCTCTTGCACTTTTTGGTAAAATGCACACATTATAATCACAAATTATGATTGCCCCATTATTATTCAAATTTGCTAACCTAGATTTAAATTGACTATTTAAATATACCTTTCTTGCTTGATGAGCCAAAAAATAGTACAATTTGTCACAGCATTCTTCAATTGTTGATTTCTGTTCTTTAAACTTGCTGATAAAATTTTGTATAACTATAAATAATTTATCACATGTAATACAACATTCATTGTGCTGCTCATCACATTCACCAAATGCATAAAGCATGCAATGATTTATTGTATCAACATGTGTTGTTGTACCATCAGCATTCATAGAAAACTCTTCTTCAAAACCTCTTCTCAGATGAATTTTCAGTTTTTCTATATCTGTAATTAATTTATTCCAAAAACAGAATGTTTAAATTTATTATTTTTTATTATTTATAATATTTATAATTTAGTAAATGAAGATATAAATTACCTTTTCTTCATTATCACAGCATTTAATTGAATAATGCTAGTAAGTGTATTGAATACTTCATAGAAATATTCATTGCAAATACTACATAAACCCCCAAGATCATTTCTGTAAACATATGGACCATTTGTTAAGTGGGCCATGAATGATGCATGTTTTATTCCACCAGGATAAGTAGCCTCAAATTTTTTCCATAGTCCTTCCTTGTCATCATTCAAATAAAGGATTGGAAGGTTTGTCTTGGAATCAATTTTATATGAGCTCATAGTGACATTGTCTTTATCTAAGAAAAAATTTTCAAATTCCTGATTTTTTATTTCTGAAATTCTATTTGAGTAATTGTAGGTTTTCTTGCAGCAATACAACCAGGTTCATTAATTCGTGAATACATTTTTGCTGCATTTATTAAATTATTTGAAATCTACATAGAAAAAATTTTCATGAAAATTTGATCATTGTGTAAAATGAATTTTTAAATAAAAATTACCTTCAAATTATCTTGTAATTCATGATATGTAAAATGGTCAGTAATTACTGATAATATTCTTTGTTTATTATCCAATCCATGATTGTTCATTTGAATTGAAATATTAAAACAATTCCAAAATTTATCAACTTTATTTTGGAGTTTGTGGTTCTTTTCAGATAATTCCACAATTGGTTTATTGTATATAACACCACTTAGAAGGTTATTTTTATATAAATAAAGCATCAAACATGATCATTTGATGCATCCTCTACATATGTCCAGAATTCAAGCTATTGTTTTGATTGTTAATAGAAAGTTAATAGTTATCAATTATATATGATAACAAAAAAATTATTTGGCATAATTAAAATTCTTACATTTGATATAATTTTTTTATAGGGTGTTACATTGGTACATCCAACACTTTTCAACATTCTTCTCCATGCACTCAATATAGTCAGTAATTTCAAAATTTGATGGATATATAGAAGTGAGGTGTGAATTTAATTCAATAACAGTTGTTAACTGTTCTTTCCATCCAATAAAAAATTGATGCCAATTTAAATCCAAAACAGATATTTTTCTTTTTAAATGCTTCTCAAGTGCAGGCATCATGTTGTTGATATAATCCCATTCAGAGAATGTGCAGCAAGGAACATCAATATAATTTTTAATTTTTAGTATTGTAAATGAATTAGTAAGTCCAAATAATTCTTTTCCATCATATTTTCTTAGGAACATCAACTTATTCCAAACATCAGTTGGTGTGCTTCCTGTATGTGTATATACAAACTAATTTCCCTTGAAAATATATATCAATTTGACATTTTGTATCAATTATTGATTGACATATCAAAGATCGTTTTCCAGAATATCTGTAAAAAAAGTGGATAGATAACCAGGACCTGCAAAGTTTAATTCCTCCTGGTATGAACTGCCTATTGATGCTACAAAACTTGAATATCATTAGTAATAATTTTAAAAGGAAAAAAAGGTACCCCTACTTGCAATTGTTTGATCATTGCTTCATCTCCAAAACCTAAAACATCTGGTCCAAAAAAGAGTGTTTTTGTATCAGAATCTTTCTTATAAAATTCATTAACTACTGCAGTTGGAGTTGAGTAAATTCTTCCTTTTATATCTGATTCACATACATACCCAGGCATCCATTCATCATCACTTGTACCTTTAACTACTCTAACTATAAATTCTTGTTGGTCGATTTTATATTTGATTCTCATATGATGTCTTATTGGAAATGTTGTTCCTTGATTATTGGACTTGAAAAAATACCACCAATGAGTAGCAAAAGGACCATAATGAAGACTGTTATCAATTTCGCCAGTTGCTAAAAGGTGTCTTTTAAATTTTTGTGTGGACATGAGGATCAATAAATATGGACACTGAGATTTGAGAAAAATTCAATTTTATTAATAATGATAGGTGACAAAATTTTATATTAAAACGATCGACATCTCTCTCATTTGGGGGGATTTCTGGAAAAATGTGGTTAGGGACCTCTCTGACCAAAATTGAGTTTTTTGCATAATATACATCTATATTGTAAGGATTACAACTGGTGAGAAAATCAGACCATGTTTGCTTAGCATAATAATGAGATACAAGACTTTGAAAATTTAATATAAATATCAAAAACATATTAATATGTGTAACATAATTTTGAGGGACTGTTACTCAAAAAAGTTTATTATGTTCTTTTGCTGGAAATCCCCCCATTTATTCGCGGATCACCGATTAAAGAACTTTTCAACTTGTAATTGTATGCAATTGAGAAGCATGTGCACACACACAAGAAAAAGGAACTGAGTATATACTCAACCACTAAAATTTTCCACAGCACTTTTGATGGAACCATCATCCTTACATAGAAAAGAATATCAGGGGTACATTTTCAATTCTGTCAACTTTTACTCATCAGGACATTATATGACTTTTTTCAAAATCAGTTCCTTAAATTTATTACTGCAATTTATCAAATTTATTTATTTGTTAGTTTATTGTATAACCAACCATCATGAATGTTGTAATAGACATACATAACAATGGGGCAAAGATATCATTCATGCACAAGGAAAATAATAAAGGCTAAGTCATGTTTATTTGTTTTATTTAACTAATATGCAACAAATAATTGCCAGAGCACAACCCATTAATCTGAAAACCCCATTAAATGAAATTTACCCCATTAAACTGCAGTTTTACTTTATAATCTGAAATTTTTTTTTAGAATTTTTTCTATTTAAATTACCCCAATAATCCGAATTTTTATTTTAACCAATCAGATACTGATCTTCTCCAAAAATACCTTCAGACTAACAGGTTGCCTATGTTGTTTGTGTCCTTGTTATAAACATATTGGAAAAAATATCTAATCTGCATATGGTTTATATTTTCAAAATTGGAATTGCAAATGGTCATTTGGTTTGTCAAAAGATTAAAGATTTGTAAGAAGACCAATATAGAAGTTGTTTAAAACAAAAGAAACAACTCTTGCAAGTGAGAAATTCAATGCTTAATATATATACAAGAAAATATATTAGACATGTATTCATATTCATAAGGTCTGGTAGTGAATGGCCTTATGAACATACAAATAACAAACAATCTTTAAGCTTGTGTGGATAGATATTCAAATATCAAAAAATGAATTGTAAATTTCCAAAAAAAAATTTTTTCAAATAACATTATTAAAGATTGGAAGAATTATCAGGCACAACATTATTATGAATTTATGGATGGTAGCAATGTATTAGCATTTATGGTAAATATTTTATTAACAAATAGTAATGAACTGTATTTTTTTAAACATTAAAAAAAAAATATCAAGTTTAAAATTTTTTTACTAACTTATACACCTCCAATTCTTCTATCAAATGAACTCTATTGGTGTGATTTTTAAGATCCAAGTTATTTTCATATACACACTTGTAACAATAAGAACAATATGGTTGATTATCGACACTATTACATGATGCTAAATCATTAAAACCAACTGATATTTCATGAAACCATATATTATCTCTAACAATATTAACTGTTTGTCTAGGATGAACTATTGCATAGCTAGGTTCCTTTACTCTACTTAATATTGAATTATCTATTTGATTTTTATCAATTTTAAAAATAAAACAATTATTTGTCTGAATAATATAATGATCATTTGGAGCCATTCCTTCAAGATTCCAAAAAACTGGATTGTAACCACCAACTAACTCTTCTGTATTTTTAATTTTCATTAGAGTCACAGTTTGTCTTATATTGTAACATTTATCTTCAAAGACAGACCTAGAAAATCCATCTTGAGATCCACTAAGGATCAATTTAAATTTATAAGGTAAATTACTTACATTGTATCTATCAATTCTTTTGTTAACCCAGCTGGAAATTAAACACATCATATCAAAATTTAATAATCTTCTCTTCCCTATTCTTGGAGGTTTTGAAAGTAACAACCTTGGCTGATATACTTTGTCATAATTGTCATAATAATATCTACAGATTTCATTGTATACATTATTATTAAAAGCTTTTTCATAAGGTTTGATTTTATTTTTAAAATCAACTCTAGAAATTTCATTGAATCTTATTGATGGAAGGATGTCATCAATTATGCTTTTCAATTTAATAAAATCTTCATTGCTCCACTGTAAAATATCCTTTCCCAACTTTTTATCTTGACCTACTCCCCATTGGATGACATATCTCCAAATATCAATTTCCTCCAATTCCAAATAATCTTTTTCCAATATAAATATAAATTCTGATTTTTCAATAGTTTCAAAATAATCATGTTTTAGGAATGCTTCTGGACTTTGATGAATTATTTCATTACGAAGTAAATTGAATGATTTATGTTGTAATGCAATATCACAAAGATAAATCAAATTTCGTTGAAACCATTCTCCCCCTTTTTTGATTAAAACATTTTGCAATACATCAAGTAATTCAACAAAATTCAATTCATCACAAGCTACAAGTAATTCAAGGATAACATTTTCATCCAAATTATCTGTATTAATTATTCCACTGTAGATATATCTTTTTTTAAAAAAAATTTTTTAATTAATAATTATTCGATCAATCAATCAAGTAAATCAATTAAATAAACCTTACCTTAAAAGAATTTCAAATATATTCGAAGGTACATTTTCTTTTTCAAATATCGTAATACCATTTTCAGACTTTTTCAACCAATTATTAGATAAAGCAGCTTTAAAATACGAGGACCTTACTTTTAAAATACTAGAATGAGCTTTAAAAGTTTTTACATTATCCTGATCTGTTCCAACTCTAATTTCTAAATCATACGAATCAGGTTCTTCGAATAACTTTGCTAAATCATTTGCAAGTTTATCATTAAATTTTAATGGTAAGATATTGTTGTTGTTGTTGTTGACATTAATAAGGCCGTTAAATGAGTCATTATCATTTATATTATTACTAGACATTTTCAATAAAAAAAAGAAAATTTGTAAAAAAAAAAATTCTTACGCTTTCTATATTTATTATAGTTAGAACGTTACATTGAATTACGTATTTATTTTAATCGGGGTAACTTTGTGTAATTTGTATCATTCGTTTTAGAAAAGACTTTGATTGTGCCAAAATTAGAAACAAAAAATCCCTTCTATGTAGATTGTTAATTCGCAATCCTTTTTCAAACACAATGGTTGTTTTTTAATAATAATACCAATAATCCCCAACAAATTCTAAAATAATGTGTAAAGGGTTAAAGGAAAAAAGCCTTGACAGTTTAAGGAAAAAAAAATTTATACAGTCTATTGTCAATATTTAATTGTATATTTTATTAAAATACAAGTGTCTTTGTAGAAATGTAGGAATGCACATTCACAATACATATTAATATATGGAAAATTAATAGAAGCGAAATGTCACACGTTAAATCTAATATTTCCGATCGATATTTCACAGTTTCATGAAATTCAAATTATAATAACAACCAAGCGTTCTTTTGGTCAAAAGTGTTTCCCGGACCTATGGATTTAACGAGCTCTGACTGTATTGTTTAAAGGTTAATTGAAAAAACTGTGGATTCCTCACAATTGCTGCCTCCACCACACTTGTTGCTTTTATCAAAGTGCAAAAATAAAGACTGTATTTATTTTTTTAAAGTTTATTAAGGATTAATTATATTTAATAAAACTAATATAATCTTGAAATTAGTTATACATGCAATTTTCCACTCACTACTCTCACTACGCTTCATGACTAAATTTCAATTTGTTCGGTTCGGTTAAAAAAGCAAATCCGAAAATTAAAATTATAAGAAATACTATAGATGGAAAATGAGATGCATATTTAAACATCACACTCTCATTTGCTTTACTTGATTAAGAAAATAAGCAATTGTGAGTATTAATAAAAAAATATATAATTAGCCAGTCATTTGTGAGAATTTTTGTTTTTCTCAATAATAATAATATACATAATAAATATTGAATCTTTGGCACTATTTTCAAAGTGAAATAAAACGTGATGTTACACGAATTATATATTGTATATATGGTCGGTTGATCACAGCAAGCATGGTGGAAGTTTGTTGTTACACGAAATGTCATACAGAACTCATTGCTCCTGAAACTTCACCAGTATATAGTTGTTACCTCTATAAATTGGAGATCAAGTTCAGATCCAATTCAAATCCAGTTTATCACTTACTTTTTATTGCCAGAATGTTTGCCTTGTATTGTAAAGCTACGTTGCACAATATAAAAAATTAATGTAACATTTCAAATTTCCACTATGCTATCACAGCAATAGTGTACAAAAAAATTTATGAACGCGAAATGAAAAATCAAAACAAGGAAGCTAGTTAGGCAGGCATTTGTTAATAAACATATTAAGGAAGAAGATAAAGCTATTAAATATCCAGAGACATTCCTTTTTGTATTTGTACTATTTTTTTATTTTTTATAAAGTAGCCTAAACATTTTATAAACGTGGAGCAAAAGCTCATTATAGTGATGGGTAAATATAAGATTCCGAACAAATGATTCTTTGTGTGATCGCTACTAAGATTAAATAATTATAAAATCAAAAAACAACATGACTGCTGAAGATCACACACGCACGCACATGGAGAAACACTCTTGAACAACCTGAAAACACCAAAAACAATGTCTGATTTCGATCGTTGGAAATTTATTTACACATGTAGTAGAAGTACATCTCCAAAGGCTTGAATATTTAAAATATCACAGTTGTTCTCACCTTCCTAGGGCACATCAGGTTAATTTGACTCGATTACCCCCGATGATACGATGATGCAAGTAGGGTTCGCTAAGTATTCAATAGAGTAACTTTTCGTTAAGGGGGTGCCGCCGCTCTGAGTCTACAATTGTATCGTTGTCGAGAAGCTTCTCGCTTGTCCGAAGCCTTCGAACATGTTCAACTTACTCACCTATAGTAAATTCTATAGTTATGGGGCGTGTGCAAGCACAACCACTTGCATGTTTGTATTAGGAAATTTTTATAAGTCTGACACCCATCATAATCAGTGATGGCAAACAACATCGTTAAAACAACCATAGCCATCTCAAACTCTACCATCTCAAAATACACCTTGATGCCATGCCAACCTTGCCTATAATAAATCAGGTTTATTTTTATTTTTATTAAGGAATTTTTCAACTTGTAATTGTATGCAATTGGGAAGCATGCATACACACACAAGAAAATTTACCCATCAGAACATTATGTGGCCTTTTTTTAAATCGGTTCCTTAAATTTTCTTATTGCATGTTTCTAGTATTATCATTACTTGGGTGATACAATTTTCGGTTATATCAATTTGTTAATTTAAATAACGTTGTAATAGACATATAACAGTGGGGCAAATGTATCATTTACGCATAAGGAAAGGATTGGATAGTAATAAAAAGCTAAGTCATGTTTATTTTATTTAACTAATATATATTTAAAAATATAATGCCAGAGCGATTTCATGAAATCCAAGATTACACCAATTGCACCATTACATTAATAAAGCTATTATTTGAATATATTTGTGATCAGTGTTAATTTAAAGTCACATCTTTCTTCATTTATATAATCTATTGATGTTCGTTTGTAGGTAGTATTTTACAAATTATTTAATCAATCTTGATCTTGTGTAACAACTGCAACAATAAAAAACTGTTGGGGAAAGACAGGTATTTTCCTGGTGGTCAAAATTTATAAATTAATTCAGTTGTGAATGAAGATGACGAGTTTGCAAATCCATTAACTGGTGATAATAATCAACAAGCGTTGGTTCATCAGGTTGAAGTATTGCAATTGTTGAACCACTTGTAATTGAATACTCTTAATGATACAGAGATTGTTTAAATGGTTTTAAAAGATGCGCAAATTGAAGATAGTGTCAATATAGATTCTAATGAGATAATAAAGAACCACCACCAATGGTTGCCATTAAAGAAGCTTACAAATCTTTAAAGAAAGTGATTAGATTTAAAGAAAAAAATAATTATAATGCTCCTTGATATGATTTAATAAAGTATTATATCAAAATTCATTAATTTATTACTTTAATCATTTAATAAACCTCTATATAGTGACATTAACTCAAAAGGAAGGAATGAACAAATAAATAGCCGAAATGAAAA